AGTCTCTATTTCAGGCTGTGCTTATAGATTTCTTTCGATTCGGTAATTGACCCTTGTTGAGCTTATCACATCGTGCTATTTTTTCTTCTGTTTTTTCCTAATTGCTTTCAAACCGACTAATGTATTCACTTTATCTTGATTTTCTCCGTTTCTATGGCATTCGGTTTCCAAATGAACATCTTGCTTTTCCCCATCTCACCTCCACACACGTGCCTCTTGCATCCTTTCCATTTCACTGAATGTCCGGAAAATTCTTCGGGGCCGTAAAGTACTACCACCAGCATCACGTACACATTGTTAGACACTAACGCACACATTAATTTTATGTTTTTCTTTTCAATATGTGCATTAAACTTGCTGTGTATACGAGCTTCAGAACTATTTGTGTACAACCAATACCCCTACTCTCCCTCTTTGTATGTGGTCGTCCATCTATTACGTTTGTGACCAATCTCCTCCCTAAATTCTACCCATTCTCTCCAACCTTCGACCATGAACCCTTGATTGCATCATCTTTGTTTTTTTTGTACAAGAGAACGAAAACTTATTTGGTGTTTGTTTCTGCTACATTTGCCAACCGGTTTCAGTTTGTTGTCCCGGATTATATACACGTGCGTATTTCAGGGGGACATGTGTGTGTGTGTGGGGGGGGGGGGGGGGGTAGGGTATTATAGTTAAGGGTTTGCGTTGATTATTGCCCACCTGTTGCACTTCTCTTTCTGGTACTGGTTGTTGCGGTCGAGCACTGTTCTTTTATCTCAGTTGTTCAAGCGGTCGTTTCCTTTCGGATACTCCTTTAGTTTTTAATGTTATCCAGGCTCATACCGTACCCCCAGGGATCTTTTTGTGTCTATAGTCTGCTCCTCTTGGTCTCTTTGCCACAATCATGTGGTTGGTTCTTGTATTCTTTTAATCTGTCCAGTGGCTATCTACTTGCTATACACATGTATTGGTTCGGATATGGGATTCATTGTTTTGGATAAATGGACTACTCATCCGACTTGTTTTTTTAGTTGTCATAGCAGAGCATATCGACTGTCCGTTGTAACCTCTACACATAGAAATCCCTATTCGTTCTTTCTAAATTCTAGGATACATGGTGTCATTCATAGTTCCGGATACGCGAGAACTCAGTTCTTCAATGGCTTAATGATACGTTTGTCTAGGACCGGATCGTTAATGGCTGTAGGGAGTAGAGAATTTATGAGACGAAAAAAAGCTGACTTAATATAAGCGTCTGTTTTTTTTTCATAAGCGATATTTATTTCGTCTTTGGTAAATGGATTGAGTTCATCCAACTGTGAGCCGTTCAAAGAACTGGCTCCAATCAGGATTATCCTTCGTTAGTGCTATATGTCGGGTAAGACCTATGAGATAACTGCCCCTCGGTAAGATTTGATGCTACCTGGATGAACAATAGGAGATAGACAAGCTAGTTGAAAATAGAGTCGAAGAGAAAATGGAGAATTTCAGTGGACTAAGGTTGCAAGGAAATTGAGAAGTTGTTGTTTACGTCACTCAGCTATATCACTCAGTGTCTCTAACCGCCACTTGTAGTTTTCACAGGAGGATCTGTCACACCATTCCGTCGGAACCTGTTCCATCTCCTATATGAACCTCGTTAGTTTCATTAACTCCAAGACCTCTATCCTTAAACTCCGATGGAAGCAGGCCATCTGGGCCGGAGGCCTTATACCTTTTCAAATTGGTTATTTCCCGGGAAAACCTCCATTTCAGATGGAGAACTGGCGTCAACTGGGATTATTTGCCCAGTCGAGGTGGGGGGGGGGGAGGGGAGGGTCAGATACCGATGGAGTCCAGTTCAATTGAGTCTCGAAATGGCCAGCTCACTGATCAGGACGGCGTTAGTGATGGTGAATCAGTGTGCTATCGGATTTCTTAATGACTTCACCTACGCCTATTTTCTTGGGGCCCGTATTCCTAATGAGATGGAAAACATTGCGACTAATACCAACAACCGCAGATTTCTCCATCCCTTTACACCTTACGCACCGCTTCCCGCGGTCATTCTTCAGACTCTTCATGAGCTGGCGTTTGAGGGGTCTGCGTGCTGTCATATGCGCATCAGGCGTAAGGATTCAGCGGTCGGCCAACAGGGCAGCTAAGGTCAACGAGATCCATTGTTTGTGTCTTGAGCCTGCGCCAGAGAACGCCATTATTTTTATCGATAATTTGATAGCTTTCTTGATTTGCTTCCAATGTTCATTGAGTCCTTCGGCTAGTGGTTGAACTGAGAGACGATCGGAGAGCTCCGCTTCGAATGCCGATTTGTAACAATCGCTGAAATTGTGTCGTGGGTATCCGTTGTCGGTGGTGTACTACGGTTGTTTTCCAAGCATAAAGAGAATATGGCTGGTAACAAGGCGTAATCTGTATCCGCAGGTGTTGACCAGTCAGTGAGCGGCGGTAGTGTTAAATCCAATCCCTCCAGTGGTAACTGATGGCGATGTGNTCGATTTTGGTCCAGCGCTGTGAAGGGGCTGGGGTTGTCGTTTCTTGAGCGAGAAGTTGGTGCTTGACAGGAACCATCCGTGGTCCGCGCAGAGTTGAATTAGGCCATCTCCGTTGTCCGTCCGGTTGGCTGGGATTGCAAGGGGTCCACCAAGAAGCCTTACTGATTCATCCAGGTATCCCACTTGAGCATTGAAGTTTCCTATTATCTTTCGCCAAGACGTGCGCCTCTTGACTAGCCCCCAACAAAGATACGGAGAGAGAACACGACTGAGAAAGTGACAGTCAAAGTATATTATTGATCGTGACACAATACGGAAATAAATGTGGTAAATGAGGCGTAAGAGAGACTCAGTGGTGATGTACCAATCAGATCGCGTCCTTGATACTCCGGTTGATCGATCGGATAACAGTTATCTGAATCGCCTTAATCATCCGATTCGGCTTTGGGCGTCAAGAACGCACTTGTGGTGTGGCGCGGGTCAATGTATGGCATCTCGGGTTCCGTGCGTTCCGTCCTAACATTTCCGGTGACTACTACGGTGTCCATTGATTGAGCACTTTCGAGTCATTGAGAAAGATCGTTGTAGAGTTCCTTCTTGATTTTAAGTATACTGCAATTGGTCAGTGTATACACCGGTATAACTAATAAGGATCGACGCTCCGTTCTTTAGCTCTTCACCCGTACTGAACCGTTCAGACATACAGCGCACAGTCGGCTACTGACTGGAATCAAGTCAAGAAGCGGGCGCTCAGCCTTGGCACATAGCGCAATCCTAACACCAGAAACACCGCGAGCTTCGGATGCCGAATCACCTGACACTCGAGGGGCGAAGCGTGAGGATGTCGTTGGGTTAAGAGAACCCAGGGAGAAGATTGAAGTAGGGTCTTGTATGTGTGTTTCGGATACCCAGCATACATCTAAATGGAAAGTTTCAAAGGTTCTAGCTAAGGTATCTTGTTGACTAACCTGATAGAGTGTGCCGAAATTGAACGCGGCTAAGTGGAAACGGAATTTTGGCTTAAAAATCCTAACTTCTGATTGTTTGGCCTTACTGGTTAAACGCTGAGTGGCATCCGATGGGTGGCTTAAATAGGAAGCATCTGGGGTTATTCTGGATTGTGAGGAAGAACTAGACAGACGGAAAGGGTTTTTTCCAAATGAGTGCCTGATGCTTTAGGACAAGACATACTTCGCGGTAACCCACACCGTTGAAGGGGTCTTTGTTCTGGAGCCTTTGACTCACAAGGCAGCGGCAAGTTGCGGGTTTTTCTTAAGGGACCCTAACCGGAGCCTTCAACTTAAAATTCTGACCTACAATGGGGCTTAGATCCAACGCGGGAGTGCGGGCTAAGCACACGTATGGAAACTTCTAGAGGCCTGTCAAACAAGGCCTTCGGGTTTCGGTTCAGTATATTGTTCGCCATTCGGATGTGGCCCTTAGTCTCATGTACCCAATTAGACAAGCGGAACGTGGACGCAACGACGCCATATTAGCTGGGAGCTGCTGGTCTTTGGCGGGCGAGAGTTGTCCAATGAAGTGCGAAGGCTCTTACTACGGTCAAAGGATGCTCAAGGTAACCCGCTCTTACGTCCAGCTTGCAGGAAATTTTGACCGGCTTTGTGAGACTGAGCTTTATCTGGCCTGTCAGGCATTTCAATAGTAACCGGGGCTTTCCACGATCAAAACGATCTTCTATAGAGTAAACAGACACAAGTGATGATTGGCAAGTCTCTAAACATAGACCTCGAAAGTCTTATGGGAGGATCGGAAGTAAGTAAAACTACAGTGTGAGTTAAAACGTGAAAATGCGGTAGTAGGCAAATTTTTGAATTTACCGCGAGCTATTTAACTTTTTAAATTTGGTAGTCTAGACATATGGTCAATCGAATTTTCCACCATAACCCTGGATTCAGGAGAAAGGTGGAATGCTTTTGTTCATAATGACTCCAATCCCTGATAGGAATCTCTGTCGGGACTGGGCAATC